TTTATGCTTTTCAGTACATATATTTTGTTGACTTTATCTTAAATTATTTTGTGTGTTTTGATGCTACTGTAAACTTTATTCTTAATAAATCGATTTCTGATTTATTATTGATCTATTATTCTGATTTATTATATGGGACTAGAAATGATTTTTGTATACTGAGCATGCATCCTGTGCCCTTGACAGTTTACTCATTAGTTCTAGTAGCTTGAAATGTTCTTTGATGTTTTTATGTAGACAATAATGTCACCTTTGATTATGAGTAATTTTACTTATTGCCTTTCAAACTGTATGCCTTTTATTTATTTTTCTAGCATTATCGCTCAGTTAAGACTTCCAGAACCATGTTAAACAGAAGTGATGAGAGCAGACCCTCTTGATCTTGCTCTTTGGGAACAGCACTCAGTCTTTCAGCACTAAGTATGATGTCATCTGTAAGTCTGCATAAATGCCTTATGTTGAGATTTGGACGTTATAGTTTACTGAGAGGTTTTATCATGAATAGATACTGAAATTTGTCAAATGGCTTTTATTGGGATGATTATATGGTTTTCCACTGTTAATGTGCTGTTTTATAGTGTTAAACAAACCTTGTACTGCAGGTATAAATACTTTTTCACATACTGGTGGCTTCAATTTGCTAATATTTTGTTAAGGATTTTCGCATCATAAAAAATACTGACCTGTAGCTTTCTCACAATGTAGCTGTCTGGCCTTGATATTAGAGTAATGCTGGCTTTACAATATTAGTTGGGATAGATTTCTTTCTCTTTAGTTTTCTAAAGAAGTTTTAGAATTGGTTTTATTTTTACATGAAATGTTTGATGTAATTTAGCAACAAAATTGATGAGGCCTAAAATTTTCATTGAATGATGATATTTTAATTATATATTAAATTCCTTTAGTAGAGGGAACCAGCAGTTAGCGTAACGGCTATGTCGCTGGACTTCCACGTAGTCAACTGTGGTTCGCGTCCCAGACCCGGTGGCTTAAAACTCATGCCGGGCACATGTGCGTGTGTGCCCAAGATCCTGATAGGAGAATGGAGGAGAAAAGATCACGGTGTGACCATCCCCCCGGGGGGTGATTTCTCGCTTTCTGTCTCTATGTCTCTCTCTCTGTCTGGCGAGCGCACACGCCCTATAGTGAAAAACCTCTCCAAAAAAAAAAAAAATGTTCCTTTAGTAGAAACAGGGCTATTCAGATTTTTAATTTCTTGAGTCAGCTATAATATCAGGGGACTTCAAAAGGTTTGGGGGAAAATGGAATTATTTTGGTGTAAACAAATTTTTGAAATCCATGCATAGTTTTCTCAGAATACCTATTTTCCATGAACTCTTTGACGATCTCTTATATTTATATAAACTATCCATTCATCTAAGTTTTGTTGTCTTTGTTAATGTAAATTGTTCATAATAATTTCCTTATCTTTATTTTAAAAGTTTCTTTCATGAGAGGTAGAAAGAGAGAGAAAGAAAAACAAGTATGCTCAACAGGGCTGCATGTGATCTCTCCCTCCCCACTAGCCTCCCCAGTCTTGATCATGGGCATGCACCCAGTATATAAAGGTCAGTGAGGAAACTGGACTTGTGATCTTCCAGGGGTTCACCATCACTTAGAGCAGCACACTACTGCTGTTCCACTGAGCTGGTCCATTTTTCCTTACTTTTTAAAATGCCTATGGGGTCTCCAGTGATATTCTTTTGATTCTATGTTATTGCTAATGTGAGTAAATCAGTTTCCTTCTTCCTTTTTTTAATTCCTCTTGAGAGAGATTTTTGCTATAGCATGCATGCACTTGCCAGAGAGACGGAGAGGAGACAGAGAAACAGAAATCTCGAGAAATCACCCCCTGGGGGGATGGCCACACTGCAATCCCTCCTCCTCCATTTTCCTGCCAAGATTTTGGGCATGTATGCATACGCGCCCAGCATGAGTTTTAAGCTGCCAGGTCTGGAACTCGAACCCCAGTTGACTACATGGGAGTCCAGTGATGTAACCATTACACCATCCACTGGTTCCTTTTTTCTTTGTTTTGAAGTTTATAAGTTTCATTTAAAAAAAAGTTTTTAGTTTTGTTCATTTTTTTCTATTGGTTTCTTTTCTATTTCATTGATATCTGTTGTCTAATTTTCTTCCTTTGGATATCTGTTTTATTTTGTTTCTGTAGCTATTTTTCTGGTTGCTTACAGTGAAAGCATTTGTCCCCCAGGTTTTTGCCCTAGAGCATGTGCTACTGCCAGAGAGATAGAGAGAGGGGAAAGTAAGAAATTACTCCTGGGGGGACGCCCATGCTGCAAACCCTTCTCCTCCATTCTCCTCTTGGGATTGTGGGCATGAACACATACATGCACCTAGCCTGATTTTTGAGCCGCCAGGTCTAGAACATGAATCATTGTTGGCCATGTGAGAGTGCAGTGCCTTAACTATTATGTCACCTGTTGGAAACGTGGAAATTTTATGGTTAATTTATACTTTATTATTTTCTTCTTTTTTAAAAAAGTTTTTGTTATAGGGCACATGTGCTTGCCTATGAGAACGAAAGTGAGAAATCACCCCTCCATGGAAAGGCCACACTGCAATTCGTTCTCCCACCTTCTCCTCTCAGGATTTTGGACACACATACACATCTACTTGATCCACTGGGTTTAATACTCCAATCATGCAGATGGCCATATGGAACCTAGAACCTTTAACCACCACGCCACCAGCTGATCTGATATTTTATTTCTAATATGAATATTTTTATTTTAGAGAATTATTTAATTTTACTCATTGTCATTATTATTATTATTATTATTGTTTTTATTTTTATTTTATTGAGGTTGACCAGAGAGAGACAAAGAGAGAGAAGTAAAGTAAGAAAGCAAGCTGTCAGGTCTGGGACTCAAACCACGGTCAGCTATGTGACAGTCCAGCCACCTTAACTGCCATGCCACCTGCCAGCCCCTATAACATGAATACTTAATATAGTAATGTATTATACATTTAATGTCTAAGTACTGCTTTGGTAGCTTTCCACATTTTTTTCATTTAAGTATACTTTATAAGGTCCCCGTCATTTCCTATTTAGCTCCTTTAGAAACATGTTTTCCAAATACTTTCGTTAATGATCTTTTGCTTATTTCGTATGGTCATACTTTGTGAACATACTTTGTATGATTTCAGTCCTTTTACAGTGTGCTCTGTGCATGTGAAAAGAATGTGTGTTCAACTATATAGCAGTGTTCTACAAAGGTCAAATGGGCTAATCATGTTAAATTTATCTCACTGATTTTTTTCTATTTATCAATTACTATGGGATGATTTTGATAATCCCACCTATAATTTTATACTTATTAATTTTTCATTTCTGTTAGATTGAAGTGGTACAATAAGTTACCTTATTAGGTCCCATTATTTATACATTTTAATTTTTCCATGAGTGATATAGAGAGAGGAGACAGGTACTCCCAACTAAGTTTCCATACCACAAACCTTCCCCCATCTTAGTTGGCCCAGGTCACAGGCATGTATCCAGACACAGCCTGTTTAGGGAGGTGGCAGGATGCAAACCCAAGATCTTTCCTAGTTTCAGGTGAATTGCTACTCTGCAACAGCCTTCCCCTGATTTCAAGGGAAGTCTTGGGGCTCCTTGTATCAACACAGCCTAAGACAGGTTCTTTTTAAAAAAAAAAAAAAAGAAGAATTATTTAATTTTATTTATTCATTTATTTTTAATCTGTCTAGAGAGAGACACAGAGAGAGGGAGAAGGAAAGTGAGAAGGCAAGCTACCAGGTCCAGGATGCGACGCTGGTTGGTTGACCATGTGAGAGTGTCTAGCGCCTTAACCACCACACCACCTGCTGGCCCCAAGATAGGTTCTTTGCTGCAACTGCCTTGATATGAA